ATTTGCAAAGAGCCTTAGAGAACCTTAAGTAGATGAATTAGGGTTTGGGAATTGGGGATTTTCGAAACTTGGTGTATTGGGACTAGGGTTTTTGAAACTTGGTTCAATTTGAAGTTCAAAATGCATATCTGACTGAAATAATCGATTATCTCAAGTGTTAATCAATTATTACAGAGCCAAAATCAACAAGAACCCATAACGCATTGTCTTAATCAATTATTTGGGCTGTTAATCGATTAACAGCCCTGCTAATCGATTATTTCAGCTGTTAATCGATTATTCTTGAGAGCTGATACAAAAAATGATTTTTCTCTCTGTAATAATCGATTAGTTAGCCTGTTAATCGATTAAACCAGTGTGTTTTTGATAAAAATGAGTTTTTGAAGCTTCTAAAGAGTAGACTATGTGTTGGCTATCTTAGACTCTAATGTTACAAACTCAAAATCATCAAAACAAAGTTATTACACAAGAATACAAGTCTTCAACTCTCTAAGTCCATTGTTCTTGAATCATCATCAAAATCAACAACCTTCATGTCAATGTAACTTCAACATTCATGTCCTTGTATGTTTCAACAATTACAAGATGTTTTTTATGAAATGCATGCAGTAGCAAAAAAATTAGAAATTGAAAACAAAAGATTAAAAAGCTTGAATAGTTTATTAGAAAACAAAATCATTCTTCTTGAAAAAGAAATTCTTGATAAAGAAACTAAGAATGAAAATCACGAAATAGGTAATAATTCGGATTGCATGTGTAATGAAAAAAAAGATTGTGAAAATTGTCCTGAGTTACAAAAGAAATTAGCATATTTAATAAAAACTGCATCTAAACTTGCACAAGGAAAAACCAGTCTTGATGTTATACTTGATTCTCAAAAGTTGGTTATTGATCGTGGTGGTATTGGTTTTAAACTTCTTGTTGGAAAGAAAACTAGAGCATTTAAAAACTATTTTGCATATAGTAAATCTATTTCATCACCATTTATTACATGCTTCTATTGTATGAAAAGAGGTCATTCTGTTAAATTTTGTAGAATAAAAAAGTATGTTATACCAAGAGGAAGAATGAAGTGGATTCCCAAGAATTCATTTCAAATAATCTGATTGGACCCAATGACTATAAAAAGGGTACCAGATATATGTGAAATCTGTTTTGCAGGAACAAAATCTGGAAGATCTTTGGTACCCAATTCATGGACTATGTATTTTAATTGATATAAAACTATTTTAATCGATTAATTCCACTTACAGAGTATACCAGAAAATTTGTCCGTACAATTTTAATCGATTAAAATACGAATTAATCGATTAAAATGCTCTCAGGATATTTAGTATGATTGTTTTAATCGATTAAAAAGTATTTACATCAGTTAAAATCATTAAAAGGACAAATTTAATCGATTATTTCTCGATTTAATCGATTATTATTCTGATATATTCTTTCCAGAACAAGAATAATTGATTCAATAACAAATTAATCGATTAATATTCTGCTTTCAGTGCAGAATTAATTGATTATTTCGATTCTATATTAGTTGTAGTGCAACTATACTAATTTCTCTTTCAGGATAACAAACTGAAGATCTCTAGTACCTTGACAGTAGCTGTTCTAAACATATGGCAGGTGATATTACAAACTTTTACAATTTAAAACCAAAGAATGGTGGGACTGTTGTCTATGGGGATAATAACAAAGGAAGAATTCTTGGAATAGGTGACATCAAATGCACAGAATCAGGTATTATTAACAATGTATTATATGTTGAGGGTTTAAAACATAATTTGATTAGTATTAGCCAGCTGTGTGATAAAGGACACAAAGTTATCTTTGGTCAAGATCAATGTCAAATTATCAAATCAGATTCAGAACAGGTATTGATCACTGGTAAGAGAATAAACAATATTTACATGTTAGATACTAATTCTGCTAAAAATTGTTGTTTAATTTCTAAAGAGAATGATTCCTGGTTGTGGCATAGGAGGTTAGCTCATATTCATATGAATCACCTTAATAAATTGATTTCTAAAGATCTTGTAATTGGCTTACCTAAACTTAAGTTTGTGAAAGACAAAGTATGTGATGCATGTCAAAAGGGCAAGCAAGTAAAGAATTCCTTTCCGCAGAAAAATATTGTTTCAACATCAAGACCTCTTGAAGGTATCTTCTTGGGTTATTCATTGAATAGCCATGCATATAGAATCTTTAACAAAAGACTAAATACTATAGAAGAATCTGTTCATGTTGTGTTTGATGAGACTAACCCAAGTATGCAGAATAATTTTGAGTATGGTACAAAAGATGATGCTTTAACTAATAAAATGTATCAGTTAAAATTTCCAGAATCAACAATTTTTCAAAAACAGGAAGAATCTATTGAAGAATCTATTGAAGAATCTGAAGAGCAGCTGCCTAAAGAATGGAAGACTCCAAGAAATCTTTCAATAGACAACATCATTAGTGAAATAAATCAGGGAGTTTCCACTAGAAGATTTTTAAATAAATTCTGCAATCACATGGCATTTGTATCACAAATAAAACCAAAAACCATATCTGATGCATTAAAGGATAATAACTAGATTAATGCTATGCATGATGAATTAAATCAATTTACAAGAAATGAAGTATGGGAATTAATTCCAAAACCAGATGATGTCAATATTGTAGGAACTAAATGGGTTTTTAGAAATAAAATGGATGAAAATGGTATAATTACTAGAAATAAGGCTAGATTAGTTGCTAAAGGGTATAATCAACAAGAAGGAATTGATTTTGATGAAACATATGCTCCTGTTGCTAGATTAGAGGCTGTTAGACTTCTACTTGCTTATGCTTCAATAAAGAATTTCAGGTTATTTCAAATGGATGTCAAAAGCGCTTTCTTAAATGGCTACTTGAATGAAGAAGTTTTTGTTACACAACCACCTGGTTTTGAAGATCATATTCATCCAGAATGTGTTTACAGATTAAAGAAAGCATTATATGGTCTCAAGCAAGCCCAAGACAACGGTATGAAAGGTTAAGTAATTTTCTCATATCAAAGGGCTATCAAAGAGGTTTGGTTGATAAGAATTTATTTCTGAAAAAATTAAATAATGATATAATTCTAGTTCAAGTATATGTTGATGACATCATTTTCGGAGCCACTAATGAGTCTTTATGTAAAGATTTTATGAAAGATATGTAGGGGGAATTTGAGATGTCTATGATGGGGGAACGCAACTACTTTCTTGGATTACAAGTTAAACAACTTCAAGGAAGAAGTTTTCTTCATCAATCTAACTGCACAGAGCTTTTAAAGAAATTTGAGATGCAACATTGCAAAGAAGCATCAGATGAAAAAGGAAAACCAGTAGATGAAACTAAATATAGAGGGTGTATTGGTTCTTTACTATATCTCACAGCAAGTAGACCTGACATTATGTTTAGTGTTTGTATGTGTGCCAGGTTTCTATCTGCACCAAAAGAATATCATCTTACTACTGCAAAAAGGATCCTCAAATATCTCAAAGGGACTTTAAATGTTGGGTTATGGTATCCTGGTGAGTCCAAACTAAATTTAATTGGATACTCTGACTCAGATTTTGCAGGGTGTAAGCTTGACAGGAAAAGCACCAGTGGCACTTTTCATACCTTGAATCTAACCGGCAATCCTTTCTTTCTATTCAATCCCAAGGTCGATGGGTCTCATAGCAAACCAGTCATTCATATCGATTCGGAGTAAGAATCTTTGATCTATCTGGGTTATGGCCTGTCAGGCCTCGTTTTACCCTGTCTCGAATGCGTCTCGGTTCCATCCCATCCACACCACACCCTTGTTTCTCCCGCTAGAGCTTGCCTAGCTGTCCTCCGCCAACGGAAACCCATTTAGGCTCGTTTGTTTAGCAGAACAAATAAGACTTTCAACCGAAATCCTTTCTTTCAATTACGTTGATGAGCTGGTTGTTGTGTATTAGTCCTTTTTTACATTGTTAGTCGGTACGGAATAGTTGCTGCCAAATAAAAGGATGAAATAGCATTAAGAAAGTGTTCCGTGAGTGCATTCTAGTCAGTCTGTTACTTAATAAAGAAGACTGATACTGAACGCACGTTAGCGAAAGTCTGTGTGCAAGTAGGAGGGAGAATAGCTTGTGACCCTTACCCAAGGGTCACATCGCTAGTCATATCTTTGATTTTCTTTCTTTTCCCCTCCGGGGCAAGTCCCAATCCGATCTATCAGGTCTTTTTGTGGTTGGCAGCTGGAGAGAACCTATTGACAGCAGCAAGGAGAGCAAACAAGCACCGGACTAAACAAGCAACGGATTGCTACCTTTATTCACTAAAGCAGTGGAGTTTGATTGCTTGAGATACCAATACGAGATCAAACCGATACCGATGAGACTGAGAAATCTATTTTTACTCGAAAGATACCGACACAGATCAAATTCGAATACCGATTCCGAACCGAAGGGACTGAGGAAATCAAGTACTACGTAACTTAAGACAAACAGGATCGCTCGCGCCCCTTACCCAAGTGTCGCAGCGCTTGTTCAGAAAGAAAATTCTTATCTTTCTTTCTTCTAGTCCCACTCCGGTCCATGAACTCACTGATGACCGTTTTCTTCCTGCGTATATTGATTCGAACTGAATGTATGATTCTTCACTCTCTGTAAGGGCTTACCTTTTCTTGCTCGTTAGCTGCTGGAGTTTTCTTGCTAGGTACGGAAGTTTTCAAATCCATTGACTGAGTTTTCTGGTCGGTCAGTAAATAGGTCCGGGCCTATGTGTCTGAGTGTAATGCTCTTTCTTTTTCTGTTGTTTTAGCCTCAATCAAATAGGCAGGCACCAAAGAATATTAGCTCAAGCCTTTTTCGTCCCTTTGAAAGAAGGACCGGCCTGAGGGTTCGGTTCTTCGGTAGCACGCACTGGTTTTACTAAAGTTCAATCCCAATACCAGATAAAGAAGCAGCGAAGAATAGAGGGAATATCACCAGTTGTTAGTCTAGGTTTCAAACAGCCAACTAAGGGTTAGGGGTAGCTATAGCTCCAGGGAGGGGAGGGTGTTGCCGGTCTGGATTGATGCCTTTCCTTCTTTCCAGGATTAAGGATCTCCCTTAAGAATGACCTCAGGAACAGTCAATGGGAACGCCATGCCATCGAGGGGCTAGTGTGACCATCCATAGCATACGACGGGCGAGAGGGGTACGTGGTGGCTCAATGTGTCTACCAGTTTCAGGTGAGAGGCTATTCGGAGATCCAGGGCGAGTCCCGATTCCATATATACGGTTAAGCAAGCCCTACCGCCAACTTCCACCCAGAGGACAACGTGAGCGCCTGGCGCGAAAGGTTGCTTTGCTTTACTAAAAAAAAGAAATAAGAAATCAAATAAAATATAAGGCGCATTAGCGCTTTCGTTTTCCAATAAGGGGCGGAGCTTGAAGAAGTGAAGCGAGCCTAGAATAGCAGCCTATTACGTTACGTTTTCAGGCCCCTTGAATTTTTTTTTTTAAATAAAGCGCTAGTGCCCCTATCCTATAGAGAGAGTAAGGCTCTTCTGCTATCAATGAAACCGAAAGAAATACAAAAACCCAGTGCATTTTGTATAGATCGAGACTTGTAGCTGGATTCTTTACTCATGACATACTGGGAAGAATTGCAGGAAATTAATCGTTTGATAACACTTCTGACTATTTAATTAAAATGATATCCGACGATCAAGACAATTCCCGCGAACTCTTTCATTTCATATCATAGAAGTTGATTCTTATTCTTACAAACAAAGCAAATAGCATTTCCTATTTATTTGTCCCCTATCCTATAGAGCTGGACCTATTCTGATTCTGAATTATCCGTCGCTACGCTATTCCCAAGGACTAGCAAAATCAAAATAGCGAAATTCTTGGGTCATCTCAATGGGTTCAGAAACCACTCGTTTCTCTGGATCATCATAGCGTACTTCTACATATCCACTCAGAGGAAGGTCTTTTCGTAATGGATGACCCTCGAAACCATAATCTGTTGATATACGGCATAGATCCGGATGATTGATGGAAGAAACACAAAACATATCCCAAACTTCTCGCTCCCACCGGCCGGCTGATGGAAATAGACTGACTACCGGAGATATTCGTGTTACTTCGTCTGCACTGGTTTGTACACGAATGCGTGAGTTGTTAGAAAAGTAGTTTTAGATCAAGAGGGGGGGTGAATTGATCTTTGAAAGTTTTTCGCAAATAACATATTATCTATTTGTAAAAATAAGATTTCAGATCTTTTCTTTAATCACAAAGCAATCAATCAAATATAAACGCAGTGACAGAATTAAAGGAGAGAAAGGTTAAGAAAGATATCACCGGTGTTTTATACTGGTTCACCCAATACCAGGGCTACGTCCAGTCTCCAGCCAAATTCCAGCTGGGTTCCACTAGATCAAATGTTTTACAGACTTACAATCTTACGCTTAATCTACCACAAGAACCAAATTCCAGCTTCCGCACTCAACCTCTCACCAAGAACCAAATTCCAGCTTCTTGATAACCTCTACAACCAAATTCCAGCTGCAGAGAAACCAGTGCCCAAATTCCAGGCACCAAACAATACAAAAAGAATGTAAAGAAATGAAAAAGAAGAAACTAGAATGCTCAAACCAGTTTATGTAATTCTGCTGTAAGTGTTTCTTCTTCAGGAAAAATCAAGTTGCCTCAAGAAAGATTTTCAAAGAACTTCTCAAAAACTGACGCGAATCTTTCTTGAAAAGATGCTAAAGTTTGCTTGCTTGATTGCTTAAGATTGATGTTCAAATGTTGTGTTTGAAATGTTCAAGCCAAACTGTTTTTATAGAAGATTTTCAAAACTGCTGGTTTAATCAATCTGTTAAAAGATTTTTTTTAATCTGTTAAAAGTGTAGTTTTAATCTGTTAAAACTTCTTTTAATCCATTAATACGTTCTTGATTCTTTAACAGATTTGTTTTAACTGATACGACAACGTTTGTATCAATTGAAACTCTTTACAAAAAATCTTCTAATTTGATTTAATCGATTGTTTCGCAATTCAATCGATTAATATACTGCAAAACTTTCTTGTAAAACTTTCCAAATTATTTTAACTGATAAAAATAAGTTTTAATCGATCAAAACGCTGTGTAGAAATTTTCTAAGTTGTTTTAATCGATTGAAACGTGTTTTAATCGATTGAAAAAAACTCTGATCGGTCATAACTCAATTCTGATCGATCATGTCTGATTCTGATCGGTCATAATTGCATTCTAATCGATCATCCTGAATGTTAAGTGGATTTAATCGATTAAAACCAAGTTGTATCGATTAAAATATTGCAAAAACACTTTTCTGAACATTCTAAGTGATTTTAATCGGTTATTTCAAAACTGTATCAGTTAAAAACTTGTTTAAGAAAGCTTTTGTCAAAATACTTTGTTTTTAACTTGTTTAAACGATTTTAGAGGCATTTTGCAAAATCTTTTAAGTGAAGAAACCTCATGCGACAGAAAAGATAAAATTGATTATACCTAAGCATAGCAAGTGACACACTAATCTCTCTACTTTTATCTAAGTGATCGTTGACCGCTACAAAGTTGACTTTGACTTTATCTTTGACTTCATCAAATCAACAGGATCTTTGTCGAGTATTTCAATAAGATCTTCATCACTTACAGCTCTCCCTATTTGATGAAGACAAACACCACTTTGAATAATAACTCTGCAAAAGAAGTCACTTGATAAAACAGATTAGTGAGTAATAAAGAAATGAATTATTTTCCTATTTCTCCCCCTAAATTGTTGCTTCCTAACTAAAGAATTATTTCTGATTAAAAGTAAAGCAACTAAAGCAACTATTCTCCCCCTTTTGACTTCATCAAAAAAATAGGGGACAGAAGAGAAACAATGCAAATGTATGTAATAAGTTTTAGATTTTGAAAATTAAAAAAAGAACGATATCTTACTCATGTAAAGATCAATCAAAGTTGATTCAAACTTATCTTCATTAACACGTTTGTAATGAATACAATCAAAGTTGATTCAAACTTATCTTCATTACAAGAACAACCATTAACTAAAGCCTTTAATTTTTCTTTCCAAAATAAAAATCAATTAAAAATAGGAAAAAAAATCGATTAAAAAGTTCTTGTTAATGATTTTAATCGATTGAAATAATGTTTTAATCGATTAATTCGACATTTAATCGATTAAAACAAGTAAAGAAAAATGTTGTATAAATTCTTTTAATCGATTTAAAAGATTTTTTATTGATTAAAACAACCAGCTTTTGAAATCTAAGTAATGTTTGATGCAAATTTATGCCTAATCTAGTATAAATTTTGTAAAGCTGATCATCTAGAAGGATGTTTAACAATAATATCAACTACATCGATTAAATTTTAACCAATAGATCCAACAAAATCAGAATAAAATCTTATTTAGCTAATTTAACTGATGTAAGCTAGTTTATAAAGATTTTTAATCGATTGATACGCAGTTTAATCGATTATTTTGTTGTGAAAAGTGTTTCCTTTAATCAATTTAATCGATTAAATCCATTTTGTGTCAGCTAAAACTCTTAGGGATCTATGTTGAATTCTATCTATGCTAGTTTGTTTCGAATTTAAAACCTACATTATATTAATCAAAGCTAAAGATATTGTTTCTGGTTAATAACCAGTTAATATTACAGTCCATAAAAGAGAATTTTGAAGCAAAAGAAATATGACGTAAAAAAAAAAAAAGAATGGACCCTTGTTGTCCAAGGACTCAATCATCCCAGTTGCCTTGGTTCCACAATAACCTGAGACTCCTTTAGAATTATTGAAAGATCCTCTTGTTGGTTTGTTGTTAGGGATGCCAGATCATCAGTATAAAATTGATCCCTGTACTGCCAATAAACACACATACCCTGTGCCAATTTTAGCTTTCCATTCAATTCTTGAATTTCTGTCTCAGATTTGTCTCCTTACAGTATCACCTCGTGACCTTGATGATTAAAACTAATTCCAATGAATTTCACCAAGAGTATTGAACCAATGCATGCCCAAAAATTATTCCAAATGTATTGATAGGTAATGCCAAGAAATTTAATGTAAACATGTGTTCATTGAATCTCCAAGTTATCTGTTCACACTTCCTAGTAATCAACAACTTATTATCAGAAGCAACCATCACTGAAAAATCCTTGATAAACTATGTTTTCAGTCCCAACAACTTGACCCATTTGACACTAATGAAATTATGTGTACTCCTAGAGTCCATAAGAAAAGGGACAGTCTACTTCTTGATAATTCCTTTGATTTGTAATGTATTACCACCCAACATTCCATGTAAAGCATTAAGAGAAATGTAGACATCTGCAGCTTGAATCATGTCTATGTTGTTGTCAAAATATAGTTTGTTCTTCCTCAAAGTCCATGACTTACACTATATCGGCCTCAATTTGTTCCTGGGCAAAGAAGATAACTTTGGGCTTACCCCAAACTTTACATTTCAACTACTCAATCCCTTTGCAATCATGTCAGTAACTTCCTTTCTAAATATGGAAGTTGAGGTGCTACCTTTTGAATCGGTAGTTGCTGAAACAAACACCTAAAGCTTTAAACTGGTTGTAGAATGACTCTGCTACAAATTAACCGGAGTTGTCCTTGTTTATGTTTCCGAATTGGACTCTTGTTTGCAGTAATTTATTTTCGAAAACTTTTAAAATTCCCTTTTGAAGTCTTGCAAGATGCATACCTTCTTGCAGAGACTATGGTTTATGAATTCTCACAGATTTTTCCAGTTAACAAAGAAAAACTTAATGTCATTGACTCAGATATAACTACATGAGCAAAAAAAACTTAAACTTCCAAATATTCTCCCAAATCTTCCTCTTGTAGCAATCATGATAATTCAACAATATCCTCAAAAGTACGATCATCAAATCGATATGACATATCTTGTGATATTTGTTCCCAAGATTTATTCTTGAAACCGGGTTGATGCATGCAATGTCGCTGCCATGAAAAAACCTTTCCATCCATGGATAACAAGAATAACTTTTCCACATTATGCCCCTAGTCTAGTTTCCAATTCAAAGATTTGTTCGAGTCTTTGCTTTCCAATCATAAGAATTTGTGCCATTGAAAGTAAATTGGATGTTCCATAACAGACTACTCGAATTGGACATGTCCGAAACTCATTCGGCAATATTCATGATTGCCTGGCCGCTAGTTATGACTCGTAATGGAAGAAACTAAATTTTCTAATGTATACTATAGTGAATCCAATTTTCATTTGAATGTTATGACACTAATTTTCAGAAACAAATTAATTGATTAACCAACTAATTAACCTATTAATCTGATTTTTAATACTAGATTTGAAAATGCTACAGTGAAATAATCGATTAATTTATAAAGGAATCGATTAGTCTTGTATAGAATGAAATTAATAAAATGATAACAGAATTTAAATCGATTAAAACGAAAAAGAATCGATTCAATTTGACATCTTAGTGATTTTAGTTGATATAAATCCTTTTTAATCGATTTAAAACAGCTAGACTCAAATCCTGAGAACATTTTAATCGATTAATTCGTATTTCAATCGATTAAAACGGTACGGACAGATTTTCTGATATCCTCTGTAAGTTATTTTAATCGATTAATACTGTTTTATATCAATTAAAACAATCAGTTTATGAAAACAGAACCTTATTTGCTGCTTTGAACATCAAGGGACTCCCAGATTTTGTTCCTGCAAAATAAATTTAACATGTTTCTGGTACCCTTTATAATTACTGGGTCCAATTAGGTTATTTGAAATGACTTTAACTTTGGAATTCATTTCATTCTACCTTTAGGAATAGCATACTTTTTAATTCTACAGTATTTTACTGAATGACCTCTTTTCATGCAGTAAAAACATTTAATCACAGAGTATGATTTCCTATTTACATTTGTTTTTCTGACTTTCATCCTAGATTTAAATCCTATGCCAGATTTGTCAAAAAATAGTTTTTGTGACCCAAGTAAAACGTCAAGATTAGCTTGACCTTGTGTAAACCTTGAAACGGTTTGTGA